TGAAGCAGCTAACCATTCATGCAGCTAAGTGGGTTTGTTCTACATGTTTGAAGCAGCTAAACAATTATATAGGTTGAGTTTGTTTTTATTTTGTATCTTCTATGAAAAGTATAACAGAAGCTGTTAGGAAAGGATCCTTGGTTTTGTGCAGGTCTAGAACCGATAGGTTTGTTACAGAAAAATACCAACAGTTGTGACCCGAAGCCTGATTACAAAGGAGAGACTTTTATACAGCACATGTATTGTTAGAACAACTTGAAACCCCCAGGAGCTTGAGAGTACATTCTATTACAATGAAAAGCAACAGTGTGGTGATATGTCCAGATTTGTACTTAACAGTAAATAAACATACTGACCTAATAGTATGACATTAAGGAATGTGATTGTATGTATATAATTTATGAGATCAGTGTTCACGTTGATATCAGTACAATAATAGGGAATTTCTAAAACCATTCAGTGGTAAGTATTTATATGTTAAACCTGAGAAAGTTGATTGTCCTCGGTGACAGTCAACTTCTTTACTAACCAAGAAAACCTGTTTGTTGGAAAGAAGAAACTTGGGAGTTCAGTTTAATTTTTTCCCATTACTTTACTTAAAAAATAATGTATATATATATATCTACTTCTTTTTAACAGGTGATATTATCAAGTACAACTTTCATTTAAAAAATGTCCAGTGATCTTTTCTTCCAAACTTCTATTTTTATTTATTTATTTATCTGGTGAAAACATTCTTCACAAAAAAGAGGAGTAGATATCCAGTTTTATCTTTTAGAATTTTATTATTATTATTATTTACAGAACGATTTTAAAATGAGGATATAGTATGTGAATTGTTTCATAGGTTACAGGAATATAGTGTTTCATGTCATCATGGAAAATAAAGTTTTTCTGTAAAACAATTTTCTGCACAGTTGAGTTTTGTATGGTAAATAACTGATGGTATTACAATGCCACATAAAATATTTTAAAACTTCAGAACATGAAATTAATTTTTTTAAGCCATTTTTCTTGTGTTGATAAGGTTTTCTTGAAAACCACATTTGGAATGTTATGGAATAAGCATGTTCCCTCATCATCTCAAAACAATTACATCTATATTTACCCAATTAAACTTTTGCAAGTAAATTTTCTTGGAATTGTGGATATGTCTTACTCACCAAGATTATATCACAAACTTGTCTCTACATGATGTAGGATTGTTACTACCACCACATGTATCTTGTAATGTTGTGTTCCAAACAGAATATAAGCTTTAAATGAGTACAAAAAGGTCACGTGGTCAGTTAGATTGACTGAGCCCGTGTGAAGAAAGTTAAGGTTAATATGGAAGTTTTAATGTTAATCAGACATGTTCAAGAAATACGCTTCTTTTATTGAACTAAAATCATGTAAGGATCTCAAACATTTTTTTTTGTTAGTTTAAGTTATTAAGTATTTATTTAACTGTAAATAACTTCATTTACTAAAATGTTTTTGTCCAATAAATCGGCTATATGTTTTGGTTAACTATAAACCTAATAATTCGTCACCAACCACACAAATACTTTTCATCAGCTACTTATAATGAAAGGAAAAGCCATACTTAGAAGAATTATATCTTTATAAGTACATGTCTTCAGGGATGTTATGGACTATAAACCTACAGATATGTTTTGTTTGGTCATTTTATATGTTACAATGTATTTATTGGCCAATGACGTCCACTCCTCAATAATTCATACGAGAAGTACAGAGGTAATCTTTAAAGAATAACGTTCACTGACCACATTAAAAAACCTGATGAAATTCTAACACTTCTTATGTATTGTCCTTAAAGAAGAGAGGTCCACTAGTGATAAGGTTTCAGTACATTTGTTTTGATGATCCTATGTTGTTTTTTTTACTATCATAAACAAAATTCAGTGAGATGTCTAAAGCAAGGCAAAATTTTTATTCAAGACATTTTGTACAGTCGATGTTTTTAAGATGATTTAAGGACAAATCTCTCAAACAACTAAAAAAAACAACATTTTTTGAAGCCCCACTGAGCTCTATAAGGGAAAGGTAAGTAACCCCAAAAAGCTGAAAAGTTTGATGACCACTAGGCATAGATGTTTTAGATGCTACCAGCTGCATGACTTGCTCTTTGTATAGTTTGTTAGATTCTACCAGCTTTCTGTACTTTTAAGTGCCATTTTAATGGTAATTTTATCCAATAAACAGAGAAAGTTACTGTTGAGATAATTAGACATAGTCCTTCTGGAAGTATCAACTTTTCAGAGATGCTCACCAGTTGTGCAAATGATCATTTCCTTCCCAGGCCAATCTAGCTGGAAAGGAATGTGAAGCTATCAAATAGCATCATGATACCGTCCAGTTATTAAACAACATGCTTTCAAAATGGATGATGGCATATTAACAGCCAAAACTGTGTGTAGTCCTATCCAATTTGCTAATTCTTAACTAATTTTACAGCAAACTTCATCCAATCAATTAACAGTTTATGAAACATAACTGGATATTTGTACATCTATCATAAGATGCTAACAATACACAGTTGTGAACAACCAACTCCAATTTTATCACTGAATGTACGTACACTGATCAAGAATAGAAAATTTACAGATCATCACAGGCCTGCAACAGTTATATTGTCTTGAAATTTTTACATGTTCTACAGTAATTCCGAAAGTGACCCATTTTTCTCCGTCACGTACAGATTTTTGATAAAATGTCACGTACTTATACATAAGTGAATAATTTTCAACGAAATCGGGTCACATTTTGTTATGCTTATAATGTTGACAACCACTGGCTATACCTGAGGGTCCTGTTGATCATTATAGAACCCATAAGAAACACACCGCTAGTATATAAACAGTTAACAGGCCACATGACGTGTCATTTTTGGATAATATTTGTTTGTACATGAACTTTGACATTATTTATTCATTGCTATGGCAATAAGAGGTTTATAAATGACCCAAACATATTCTGTTATATTTGTTGTAAAGAGACAAAGTCAAACTATTATTGGGGACCAAGACAAATCATGGGCTCCGTACAAACTTTGTACCATTTGTGTTGAAGAGTTGAGACAATGGACTAAAGGTAAGAAAAAGTCTTGTTCTTTTGGAATTCCAATTGTCTGGTGTGAGCCTAGAAACAACCAAGATGACTGCTATTTTTGCTCGTAACGTGCAAGGCTACAACACATGAAATAAAAAGGAAATTTCTTATCTGCTATAAGA